ACGCAGTATGCAGATTTGCTAGCGCAATTAAAACTGACACAGAACAGCTTTCCGATTTGGAATTAATGCATTTCTGGCTTAATTATGATTATTTGCAAAACTTTGATTATTCGAAAAAATTTCCAGTTTTTATACCTTTTTGCAGGGTATAAGTATTAATCAGAAGCTTATAACACAATGAAGGAATCATTTCCGACCCTATAAATCATATATATTCTAGATCAGAATGAGCAGCTGAATCGATCTAGCCACGTCAAGTGGAAAAATCAATTTTTGCATTTTGTTTCAAAATATCAAAAAACGATAAGGGGTTACATCATTAAAATTGTCAAAATTCGACCAAAAATTGAATTTTTTAAATTTAAAAACGCGGTATGCAGATTTGTTAGCGCTATAAAAGTAAGCACAGACCAGCTTTCTGAATTGAAATTAACTCATTTTTGGCTTTATTACGATGTTTGAAAAACACTGATTACTTACAAAAATTGCCTGTTTTTATACCTTTTTGCAGGTTATTATAATTTTAGTCAGAATCTTTTAACAGCATCAACAAACGCAGTATGCAGATTTGCTAGCGCTGTTAAAACTGACACAGAACAGCTTTCCGATTTGGAATTAATGCATTTCTGGCTTAATTATGATTATTTGCAAAACTTTGATTATTCGAAAAAATTGCCAGTTTTTATACCTTTTTGCAGGGTATAAATATTAATCAGAAGCGTATAACACAATGAAGGAATCATTTCCGACCTTATAAATCATATATATTCTAGATCAGAATGAGCAGCTGAATCGATCTAGCCACGTCTAGTGGAAAAATCAATTTTTGCATTTTGTTTCAAAATATCAAAAAACGATAAGGGGTTACATCATTAAAATTGTCAAAATTCGACCAAAAATTGAATTTTTTAAATTTAAAAACGCGGTATGCAGATTTGTTAGCGCTATAAAAGTAAGCACAGACCAGCTTTCTGAATTGAAATTAACTCATTTTTGGCTTTATTACGATGTTTGAAAAACACTGATTACTTACAAAAATTGCCTGTTTTTATACCTTTTTGCAGGTTATTATAATTTTAGTCAGAATCTTTTAACAGCATCAACAAACGCAGTATGCAGATTTGCTAGCGCTGTTAAAACTGACACAGAACAGCTTTCCAATTTGGAATTAATACATTTCTGGCTTAATTATGAGGTTTGAAAAACTTTGATTATTCGAAAAATTTTCCAGTTTTTATACCTTTTTGCAGGCCATAAGTATTAATCAGAAGCTTATAACACAATGAAGGAATCATTTCCGACCCTATAAATCATATATATTCTAGATCAGAATGAGCAGCTGAATCGATCTAGCCATGTCTAGTGGAAAAATCAATTTTTGCGTTTTGTTTCAAAATATCAAAAAACGATAAGGGGTTACATCATTAAAATTGTCAAAATTCGACCAAAAATTGAATTTTTTAAATTTAAAAACGCGGTATGCAGATTTGTTAGCGCTATAAAAGTAAGCACAGAACAGCTTTCCGAATTGAAATTAACTCATTTTTGGCTTTATTACGATGTTTGAAAAACACTGATTACTTAAAAAAATTGCCTGTTTTTATACCTTTTTGCAGGTTATTATAATTTTAGTCAGAATCTTTTAACAGCATCAACAAACGCAGTATGCAGATTTGCTAGCGCTGTTAAAACTGACACAGAGCAGCTTTCCGATTTGGAATTAATGCATTTCTGGCTTAACTATGAGGCTTGCAAAACTGTGATTATTCGAATAAATTGCCAGTTTTTATACCTTTTTGCAGGCCATAAGTATTAATCAGAAGCTTATAACACAATGAAGGAATCATTTCCGACCCTAAAAATCATATATATTCTAGATCAGAATGAGCAGCTGAATCGATCTAGCCATGTCTAGTGGAAAAATCAATTTTTGCGTTTTGTTTCAAAATATCAAAAAACGATAAGGGGTTACATCATTAAAATTGTCAAAATTCGACCAAAAATTGAATTTTTTAAATTTAAAAACGCGGTATGCAGATTTGTTAGCGCTATAAAAGTAAGCACAGAACAGCTTTCCGAATTGAAATTAACTCATTTTTGGCTTTATTACGATGTTTGAAAAACACTGATTACTTAAAAAAATTGCCTGTTTTTATACCTTTTTGCAGGTTATTATAATTTTAGTCAGAATCTTTTAACAGCATCAACAAACGCAGTATGCAGATTTGCTAGCGCTGTTAAAACTGACACAGAGCAGCTTTCCGATTTGGAATTAATGCATTTCTGGCTTAACTATGAGGCTTGCAAAACTGTGATTATTCGAATAAATTGCCAGTTTTTATACCTTTTTGCAGGGTATAAGTATTAATCAGAAGCTTATAACACAATGAAGGAATCATTTCCGACCCTAAAAATCATATATATTCTAGATCAGAATGAGCAGCTGAATCGATCTAGCCATGTCTAGTGGAAAAACAAATCTCTAATAATAAATGTAATGAATATTTCTATTTCTTAAAATATATTATTTTCTTGTTGTATAAGGAAAACTATTAAATTTGAAGAGGTTCCTAATGCATGATAACAAAATATTTCATTGTGGAATATGATTTATTTGTAATTTATATAGATTTCTTTTATTCGTCAATTTTGTTAAAATAAATATTTATGTTCGTCTAATACTTTACATATAAGAAATTTGCACAAATTTTCTACACTTAGTCCTAGGTAATAATAATATTCTACCTTTAAGCTAATTGTCTGAGTGTTCGGAGAAACTGAATTTTCAAAGTACAAGGAACAAATCGTTAGGGCGTAAATAGCTATTTACATCGAGTGTTTTTTATGTTTTGTTTGTTATTGATCGGTAACATATAAAATTCGCTACTTATGAGTAAAAGGAAAGGGCGATATTAGATACTACAAAGACTACAATCAACATTTAAGACATTTAGAAGATTTCCCGTATACGAATTTCGAATTTGATTCGGTCTAACTCGACTAACTTGTTCAATTTGGGTTTAACTTATTATCACAAACAAGTACACTTAATATGCATGATTACACGTGAGTGGTGAGTGGGAGGTGGGAGGCGACGCCCCCGTTTACAGCTACGAGTTGATCTTGGCCAGCAGCGGCTGGGTGACGGCACTGCCCGCCACTGGTGGGCACTGCTGCTTGTAGCTCTTCACCAGGTAGCCGAAGTGGTTGCTGTCCCCCGGAATGTTCTGGCCACTGGCACTCCGCTGTGGACTGTTGGCCACCATGGGCATGGATGCTGGCATCGCAGCGGGAACGGGAACGGGAACGGGAACAGGGGCAGCCGGAGGCGCCGACGTGGGCAGCAGAGGTGCCTCATCGCCCTCGGCAAACTTGATCCTCAGCTGGCCACTGCCCATGCTGGATGTGTCCACGCCCGGAGCACCCGTCAGCAGCGTTGAGATCGTGGGCGAGGGCTTTAGTCGGCTCCTGGAAGAACCCATTGCCGGCGGCTGCAGGATGCCGCTTAAATTGGAGCTGGAATTCGAATGGACATAGCCGTGGCTATTGTTGTTGTTCTGGTTGAGGTGGTGGTGGTTCTTTAGTGCTCCGCTTAGTGGCAGCCGGAAGTGGGCCAGTTCCCAGCTGTCGGAGCTCTCCTCCATGTCGCGCAGGCTGCGGCTGCTGTAGATGTCACACGGTCTCTGAGCAGCCGCCGCATCCAGGTAGAGGTTCTCAGTCTTGTGGTAGTCGAAGCTCCCGCCATTTAGCTTGGGGGAGCTAGAGCTAATCTTGCGTTTTACGCGCAGATTGGGCGACTCCCTCGCCGGCGGTGGCGGTGGCAGGGCGATTGTGGGCGGCGGCAACTGGGCCGTTGGAGGTGCGGCCACAACCAGCTCGGAGTACTGCTTGTGCAGATGATGTGATTGGCTTCGTTGCGGTTGCTTCAGCGAGGAGCGTCGCGAGAGCAGAAGCTTGCTGGGCGACATCAGGGCGTCAGGACGTGGCACCTCACCCTCCAGCCAGTAGGTCAGCATCTCCCCCTTGCCCTTCATGGGTACAAAGCCCCGTCGGGTGGTCACAAAGGTGCCGAACTCATCTAGGGCCACCTTGGTGGTCTCGCTGATGTGAATCTTTAGCGCCTCGCCATTGGATTCCATGCGGGAGGCGGTGTTGACGGTGTCACCAAAGAGACAGTACCGCGGCATCTTCAGGCCCACCACGCCCGCCACACAGGCGCCGGTGTGTAGGCCAATCCTCAGCTTCAGCCGATCCTCTGGCCGGTGGTGGATACGGAAGTTGTGCACTGCCTCCAGCAGAGCCAGGGCCAGGCGGGCTATCTCCCGGGCATGTTGGTTGCCATTCCGAATGGGTAGCCCTGAGACCACCATGTATGCATCTCCTATCGTCTCCACCTTGTACACATCAAAGTTCTCCACGATGGAGTCGAAGCAGGTGTACAGATCGTTGAGGAACTGCACCACCTGCATGGGAGTGCTCTCCGCCGAGATGGCCGTAAAGCCGACTATGTCGCTAAAGTATATTGTCACCTGGTCGAAGGTCTCTGCTACCACGGGCTGGCCACTGATGAGCTGGGCTGCCACGCTCTGTGGCAACAGCTGGTAGAGCAGCTTCTCGCACTTTTTCTTCTCCTCGTGGTAGTCCTGGGTGCGCTCCTCCACCAGCTCCTCGAGGTTGTTGGCGTACAGCTCCATGCGTTTCAGCAGGTTGTCCACAATGTTGCCCGTCTCGTTGTCTCTGTCAAGGAGTACATTAAGGCAGGAAGTTAGTGATAACGTATTCTATAAGTAACATAAGAACACTTACTTATTGAACCTGCGAATCATGGACTTGAGCGTATTAAAGTCCGGACGCTCGGCTGGATCCTCGGCCCAGCAGCGTCGGATGATGCCGTTGATGTCCGCCTTGGTGTCGCTATTGGGTTCCAGTTCCGGCCGGAAGGGTCTCTGCATCCTCTGCGGATGATATCCCTTGACCAGCTCAATGATTTCTGTGAACAGTTGGAGACGAGAGGCCTTGGATTAGATTTCAATGGATTTCGTTCGGTCTTTGCTGGCTATTTAGTTATGTAAATTTGTCGTTTTAGGTGTAATTTTATGTCGACATCAAACGGGTCCTGTTGCCAGGCCTAGGAATCTGCACAAGCACACAGAGCACACACACTGCTGCCGAGATGTGGTCAAAGAAGCAATATCTGGACATGGTTAGTCTATTTCTGCAAGCGAAGCCTCCAAAGCCCCATGAGCTGAGGCCATGCTACCAACAGGAGCTGCTCCTGCATGCCATCTGTCGCCCTAGGGAGCCGTTTACGAAGGACGAGCTCACGGATATAGTCTGGAACATGACCAATGGGCCCAAGAAGAAGACTTCCAAGTCCCGGAGACGGCAGAGTGGCGGCAGGGATGTGCAACGCGAACCCACCGATCTTGAAGTTGTCTTTGGGGGCTGTGTGAAGACGCCACTTTACTACTGCGGCTGGGAGAGATCACGCATCGAGTGGCTGAGCAAGCTGGAGCGGCAGCATAGCAAGAAGCTGGAGCGCCATTGCATATGGCGGGAGCCGCCAGGAGCCGTTGCCGTCGTCAAGGAAACTCGGCCCAGCTTGTGCAAGGAAGAGCTCAGAAAGGTAGACCAGGACGAGGACAAGATCAAAAAACCCGGCTGCTGGGCCCTGCTACCCTTCGCCTGCGGTTGGTGCTTTGGGCACTAATCCAGCAACTGCTTGGACGTGCCCCACCGCAAAGAACAGTTCGTGATTTCGCCCATGTGGGTCTACGAGCAGAGGAGGGGCTTAACTTTTCCACTTTTTCGACCTGCCTTTCTACAATTTGATTTCGATTTCCAGTGCTCCGAGACCGCAATTAAATTCATCTGCAGACACAACTCTCGACAAGCGCCGGCAACTGGCAAAAGTTCCCAGTTAGCACTCTGCGGCAAGGGACAAGTGGCTGAGTGGAGAGGATAAGACTGAATCCTGATTTCCACAGCCGCCAGTCAGTGCATAATTTGATGAATTCGCCAAGTGGCAACTCGAAGACCAAGTTTTAGGGCGCCAATTGAAATCGGCGCGAGTTCGTAGGTCGCAGTTGGCCTTTAGTTTTACAAGGCGTTGAGCATATATACTTTAAGCAGCAATAAAAAGAGAACAAACTCAGCGCCACAAAAAAATTTAACTCTTCTCAATTTGATTTCTGGGTTTAACTTGATTTTGGTTGAACTGGGATGACCTTAGATTAAACTAGTTTAGTTTTCATGCTATTCAATATGTTTACTTTTAAGAAAAAGGTTCTATTAATATGTGTCCTTCCTAAAACCTTTAAAATCCTAGCTTTTACTTAGTTAAGTGTTGTTTTTAAACGATTACTATAGAGTATAGCATCTTCTTACACAAAAACTCTGTCTTGCTCCTGCCTATGACGTTCTTGGTTCGCTCAGAAATTAAGTGATTCTCACACGGAGATTTTTCGAGCACGTATCCTGCTAATTGGCGCAATCCCACACATACCCCGGGCCACAACGATCCGGAGTGGCCAACTACTTGGGATGGACAGAGTAACCGCAACATGTGCAAAAATCTGGCATTAAAATTCCACTCAGACGAAATCGGCCGCAACACGAAAACGTACGTTCAATGGAGGAACTGGAGGAGCTGAAGGAGCAGGGGATCTGGGACAGAAGAAACAATTTCATGGCATACCTTGTGGTGATTTCTCATACGCACACTGGCCCAGGTAAAAGGGACCTTGTCGAGTGGTTATCTCGTGGACAATGATTCCAAAGGCGTAGACGTCACCCTTCTGCGTGCCCTCGGGGGCCCGATGGTTCTCCAGTCTCAAAAGTTCGGGGGAAGTCCACAAAAGCTCTGAATAAATTAAAAAAATACAAATTATAGTTTAATTATATATCCAATGTTTTAAGTTACTTACTGCTCCAATAGGCATGGCTATTGCAATTGCCGCCGTCGCTCTCCATGTCGAATTGTGACTTCCTTAGACTGTGTAGCCCAAAGTCTGTGATCTTGAGCACGAAACGGGAGTCGACGACACAGTTGGAGGACTTGAGGTTCCCGTGGGAACGGATGTCGGAGCTGTGCAGGAACTGCATGCCGCGGACAATGTCATGCATTAGCGATAGGCGGAACATCCAGTCCAGCTGGAACTGCTCGTTCTCGAGGATGTCCTGCAGGGAGCCCTTGGGACAGTATTCGGTGAGCAGGAAGCTCCGCCTCTGGTCCAGACAGGCGCCGTAGAACTTAACCAGATGGTCATGCTGCAGATCCTTCATGCGCTTCAGCTCCAGCATCAGGCTGCGGGTAAGCATGTTGTGCACGTTGGACACCTCCACCGGCTTAATGGCCACCTTACTCTTGCGGAACATGCCCACGGGTATAAAGATTTGCCGGTCACCGTTGATGGACACCATGTCCTCGGACATCAGTGTCAATTGCGAGCTTTGCTTTACCAAGGAGTGGAAGGAGCCGCGTAATCCACGCTCGGCTGCATCACGGAACATCACATCCTCCAAGGATACTTTCCAGCTCATTGAATTGATCTCTGCTTCGGCAATATAATGGCGATAGCCAAAGAAGAAGCACACGGCCATCACGACCACCATGGTGCCCAGCACAATCGAGAGAATCGCATAGCCGGGCAAAGCTGGAAGTGAGATATTTAATGGTTAATTATTTTATGGTAATTATGCTCCCAATTAATCTCTTTTGACTCTTACAATTATCGGGGCACAGGGAACCATCATAGCCGCAACTGGGCCTATCCGGTGGTGCCTCCTCACGGTCCCCTGCCCAATGGATGTCCTTGTTGGCCTCAAACTCCAGACGATTGTGCAGGAAGTGGGCCACGATCTCGAAGCGTCCAGTGGTGGGATTCATGTCCAGCAGCGAATAGGCGGACAGTCGGTCACCATTGGCATCGATGGTCACATTGCCTGTGATGCCAGTGAAGCTACGGTTCCACATCCGTCGCACCATGTCAGTGCCGTTAATGGGTCGTGTCAGCATTGTGGGATCCTCCCGGATGCTCTCATTCAGGGCATTGGCATAGAGCAGGACTCCGTCGAAGAAGGATGTGACGAAGGCCGAAATCGGCTCGTTGTCGCTAAACGTGTAATTGTATTTCTCCGCGGCAATGGCTTTGATCTGTGAACGGATGTTAAAACCGCAATGCATTAATCTCTCTTCTGCTGGCTCGTCCCTCGGTCCCTCGGTCTCTAAGCCCAAACCCATTCAATTTTCGTTGCCGTAGGGCATCAATTGCTATCCCCCGTTCTTGGCGTCTGGCGCCATTCCTCTTTAATTGCTTTGGCCACCGTGAAAATTCAATTACGCGCTCGCTCGCCCGGAATGGAGAAAGGAGAACGGAAGACGAAGAGGTCCTCCTGGTCCGCGACGTTTTATCACAATCCATGTGGAAATTATTGCACACCGCACTCCGATGTGCCACCGGCGGATTTCGTTCGCCATTCTCCTTTGACAGGCGACTCTGGCGGGATTTGGCCAAAGTTGCGGTTGCAAATGTCCATTGAGCGTAAGTTTTCTGCCAAAGAAGGTGCAGACTTAAGCTGCAGTCTTTAAAGGCAGCAGATGGAAAGTGTGGTTGGTTGTAAGCCAGGTATCTACCACAGTACTATCATTATTGGCATACACTTGGAAAAGTTGTCAGAAATGGAAAAGTTCTGCATAATAAATACGAACTTTAAAGAATTTTATACTGGCTCTTAGAAGCCGGCATGAAGTAATCATTGTATTTACAACAAAGTATCATATTTCTTTTCATAATTGTCTAGGTTTTTCGAAGAGTGTAAGCTGAAAACCATCATCAGCTTGTCTTTCGCATTTCGTCTCCTACTCTGCTTAGCCCAAGTATCTAACAGATACGTGTCGAGAGCCAAGTGTCATTAGCAAGACGGCCGGACTATAGTCCAAAGAGGCTACATCGTTTCACATGCTCCCTGGCTGCTTATCAGCAATTGCAACTGCAAATTCATTCACTTTTCAGGTGGCTGCACCGGCTTTTCGAGGACCCTTCCCAGTGAAGTTGGCCAGCAAATGCTTTCGGGTGTTTTCGACTTTGTTTGTTGTAAATTTACCATGTATCAACAGAGAAATGTTTACAATTCCCAGCCGGCTCCTGACCAGCCTCCATGCTCATGCTAAATAGGCAGCGGTTATAGACCGGGGGAGAAACGTGCATGGGAATTGAGTATGCATGAGGCTGGCCAAAAAAGGATCAGATGTGCCCAGAGTCCCCAGTGGAAAAACAAAAGAAATCTGCAAAAATTTTCAAATTGGCTTCCGCATTCATTTCCATGCAAATGCATGGACCCACCGAGTACCAGACTAGCCACTGTCCAAGTAGTGCTCTCACCTCATTGGAGACCCTGGTGTACTCGTTGTCATTCGGCTGCTTTGGGGTTACGGTCAGCATGGCGGTGTAGGCCTTCTGGGCACGCTCATTATTCAAATCCGTATCATTCTTCTCATACCAGGGCTGCGATGTCAGATAGGGGACCCTGTAATTCGGGGGAAATAATAAACAAAATTATCAGTCAATGTCGATGTCAATGCACATACAGTATGCTGCTGCTTTAAAGAATTAATAATCTATCTTAAGAAACTGACTGAATTATCTTTAGCAGTATCAAGGGTTTTTTAATTAAAGAGATTACTTTGCTTCACACTTGCTTTAAAGAATTATTTTTCATAAGTTTCTTATCTTTATATTCTTCTTATTATAACAGCGAATTTCAAAGATATATCTCAGTTTTTGTATATATTAAAATTTTGTCTGAGAGCTTAAATACTTTTTTGTCAAATAAAAGAAATTTGGTAACCAGAGCGAAATAATATATTTCTATAATCAAAACGAATTAAATGACTTCTTCTTATAATCTTTGAACATTGAAAAGTGACAGGAACAAATCCCTTTGGAATTTCAAAGGGATTCCAGTGATTGGCATCGTAATCTTAAAGGTTAATTCTTAATAAGAAAAAATCCATTCCACTGCGAACACTCTAAGTTATTTTTACTGTTGCCCTTTTTATTTTTAATCACATTCTGAGGTACTTTGATTTTTGTTTTTTTTCTTTTCTTTTTAAATGTAGTTTTCGCGTATCAATATTATTATACAGTTTGCCTTTGTGCCGCCTTTAGTTTGGGTCTATTACCAGTCATTGATATGCGTCATAAATTGTTTATAAATAGACTGGCTAAGTGTGCGGATCCATAGAGCACACCTAAACCTAGACCAGTGCCTACTAGTTCGATTCTATGTAACTGCATTTGGAATTTACTAGCCCCTCCTTATCATCTGGAAACTGCATGTATTTCTGCCTGCTCGCGTTTTGTTTGCTTCTATAATGTAACTAAAATGTAACTATAATTATCGGTTCTTAAAAGATATCTATAATTCATTAAGGAGCTATTGAATGGACAGTGCTGATAGGTAAAAATCTATTAGAAGAGAGTACAAATAATTAACCTATACTTATTCGCATTTAATTATTCGTTTGCAGAGAAGTTTATTAGTATTCCATAGTATCTTAGTATCTTAGCTTACGTTCTGTTTGAAAAATATAACAATTTTAGGTAAATTCTCTGAGATATCACTGTATATTTTTCCTAGATTAATTCCCAGGGGATTCAAGTAATAGAATTTATCACCATTATGTAGTCTGTTTACTCTGAACTGTGGCAAGCAGGAAATTGATTAACTAATCCAATGCATATACCGGCACTTACACACGCTCTTGCTCCCTAGTATATAGATTAGTAAGTATATATACGCAACATTTTTCCATTGATTGCGAGTGTCATGAAGGTCGGGCGATTAGAATGCATTTAATGCACATGCAAATCGAAGCCGATTGCAATTATATTCAGTGCACCACTATCAGAAAGACAAACGAGTGGGAGAGGAGCGTGCATCTCTCACCTTGTCGCCTTGCCACTTCACCGAATTTCCCCCGCAGCTTTTCCAACTTTTCCAGCTTGGCTCCAGTTCTGCCCGGAGGCGGGTCAGACAAAGAGAGCTTGTGAGCTATATAACATTGTGGGGAAGACAAAGAAGCTGCTTGGCCATTACTCAGCACTAATGTTTGGATAATCACATCGAATATGGCTTGAGGTCTGAGTCTGGGCACTTTGCCTCTT